GGATGATTTTTATGCTACCTCAGGCCAACAACAATACCAGGAAAGTGAATGTGTTTTTGAAATCACCCATTTTAAAAAAGCCCAAAATAAATAAAAAACGAACAAATGGACAAAAAAATGTCATTTCTTCATGTAACATTTTGGAAGGCATATTTTTGATATTGCTGTTTGTAATCTGGCTACCAAAGTCAGCGATGGTTACAGTGCTTCCCTAATTTTTTCAGTAACACAACCTAGAACTCTTGCTGTATGCAATAATATGAACCGTAAATGTGATTTATTTAATTTTAAGAATCAATATATAAGGCAGTTCCTTCCAACGATTTATCGTCTAATATGATTAAATGTAAAGCTTAACAAAGTACCACATTCCCATTATCCGATTCACAAAGACAGTTTTGGTTTAAAAATATGCCTGAAACATATTACAGATAATATCCCAGATGATTATTATGTAAACATTGTTATTACAATGAAATTAATTTGATATGAGCTTCATTTCACATTTTTATCGTCAATGCTGTAACACAGAAGCCTATTTAATCTGTCCAGTATTTGTGCAGGGTTTTAAATGAAGCATACAAAATCTACAGTGTTCTACCTTCTTGTCATGAGGATCCATCTGTTTCCAATTATTGGCCTTTAACTGATGAAGTTCATCAAATTTCATACTAATATTTTCTATGGACAACTGCAGCATATCCCAAAACCCTGCTAAATCCTGGGAGGTCGGCCGTGGATGTGCATTAGGATTCTGTGCAACAGAAGAAAAAAATATGTTGGCTTTAGTACTTCTTAATGTAAAGCATTCGTGCAAACGGTTACAAATCTCACTAGCAAAGCCGTTTGAGCAGATCCAAGTGATGGGTGAGACCCAGAGAGAGGAGCAAAGCAAAGCATTACTTACTGGCAGGTTTAATTGCGAGGAATCTGGTGTGGAGTTGAGCTGCTGTGCCCTGCAAACACCCACTCACCAAAATCGGTGGGTACCCCCCACAGACCAAGGGTAAAGGGCCCCTGTGGCAGGATCTGCCTAGAGATGCTCCTGGGCACAACTGGTGGCCATCCTATATGTACTGAAATGAATTGCCAACCTCCACTTTCACGAGGAAGGATTCCCCACCATGTTCACACTTGTAAAAAAGAGTGGCACCTGAGGAAATTTACATTTCCTGCATGTGCAATAGTGATATACCAACGTGTGAACACTTTTTCTGCACTCTCAGAATGTAAGGTTCACAAAAATACTAGGTAAAATTGTCTCCTGTACACCTCAGGCCATTTTTTTTTTTTTCAGAAGACTACATGCAGAAGCACAGCAAACCCATTTTTACAGTCAGATTTTTGGGAAGAATGAAACTGGGACACAGGTGGGGAACACTGTTTTGCGTGTGCAAACTCATCAGCCCAAGAGCATTGCTCAGAAGAGCACATCTGGACAGTCAGCATCTTCAGCACAGCTTGGGCCAGACCCAAGAAATCCTGTCCGTCCTTCTGTCCCTTCAGTGCACCCCAGCTCTGAACACTTTTTGCATGCAGTGGGCGTACACAAAACCATCCCTGCTTCACTGGCAAGGCTTATATGAGGGAAGGCTTTCTACAGGATGTGTCTCTATAAGCTGCTTCCCAGCTGGAACTGTTTAATTAAAATGAGATGTTGTATACACTCACTTCAAGCATAGTTTTTCATAGATGCTGAGGAATTCCTGCACCAGTCAGCAGGGTTTCATGGGTGCTGTGGCCTTGTTAGATTACATTGATATATTCTTATTAATTTTGTTGTTAATAAATAAATTACTAGTAGCACCTTGCATGATGTTTTACATGGCTCAAGTTTTACTTTGCCTTTAGTTTTCTTCCTCTTCAGAAACAATAAGCCCAAAAGAGTCAGTTGATTACCTCATAAAATTTCTATTTTTGCTTTTCACAGTCACACTGACAAAGGATTTTGGTAGGATGATTATACCATGAAAGGTGCAATTATTGAAAACAATAAAGTATATATTTTTAGAATCATAAGGAGACGAGAGATTACACTTCAATTCCTAGTTTTTCAGTGCTTGACTAGCAATTGTAGGTTGATATTTGCAAAGATGTGCAAACAGAATACTTTTCAGTTTTTATATTAAGAATTGGAAGTCTTATTGAGACAGAGCCATTTTCTGTTGCATTTGCCCACTTAGGCAGATTTTAGTCTGGTGCTTGTTTCCCAGGAACACCTGGGAAAGCCCAGCTCAGGAGATTTCTGATCCACCCTCAAAGACCTTAAGGTGTTTTAGCTATCAGTGCTCCCATGAACTCGAGGGTCAAGGGACAGATCCTTGCTCCTCTGAGGTCAGTAGCAGAGCCTCAGTGATAGTTCATCCAAAGGTTTTGCCTTTATTTTAAAGCTCTCAAGCTGTTGTGAAACTCATGCTGACTCTGACAAGTTTGAGTTACTCCCAAATTCATATCAAGGCCTTTACTGGAAAAACTGCCATGTTAGTCAGAAAATCAGTTTAGTTTATGGAGGATTATTCACAAGTTCAGTAAAAGGCACATTACATTACTATGACATTAGTATCTAGCAGAAAAATTACATACCAGGTTTTCTTCGCAAAGTTCTCTGAACTGGTAAAATTTCTGAGCCATGAGAAGCTGGGCACTGCCCACTGCAGTTCGAATTTTCCCTAAAACTGAGAGAAAAAGAAGAATAAGTCACAATGTTTTCTTTGCTGCAGGCAACTAAAAGCCTATAAAAAGAGAGGAGAAAGCTGTGCAGCAGTCAGCTCTGGATTTCAAAAGGTATGTTATCTTTCAGTCACAAAAAGAGAAAAGCTGATTAATCTAAGGTCAGATCTCCACAAGGCAAAAAATACGTAAAAGGTTGCTGCATCTTATTCTCATTCCTCCAGTGAGACCAGTTGTAACCAGTTGTAATGACAGTGTAAACGTGGCTAATCAAAAGCTTCTGCAGGCTGTATAGAAAGCTCACCAGAAATGTCACCACTCGTGACACTGCTCTGACCCAGGCTCAGGCTTTGAATACAAGCCCAGCTCCCTGCACAAGGAGATGCAGCTCTCAAACCCTGCTTGCTCCTCCAGCTCGCTTAGCAACTCGGCCCTTATTGTCAGGTGGAGCTGAGTGTTGCTCATCACTGTTTCATTTCACTCCAGTGAATCTCATCTGGACCTTCTGAGTACTTTCCATGAGCACAATCCAAGGCTGCTTCTGTTTTAGAATTAAAATGCCCAGGAGTACTTCAGGGAGCAGCGGCACCCTGGCCTCTCCTCCTTGCTGGTGACTTGGAGAGAGGTGTCAGAGAGTCCTGGTGCAGCTGACTGAGGACTCTTTTGTACGGACAGCTGGGTACTTATTGCCCCTTTGGACTGACCGAGTGCTGTGAAGGGCTGCAGTGAACCAGAAGACAGCCCATAGTAAATGCCTCTGAATAAAGCAGGGGCTCACACTGTTTTGGTTGCATTCAACCTCACTCAGACACTGGGATTTTACAAGGGGCTAATTGGGAATACACTGCCCAAAACCGAGGCATAGACTGACTGGTGCATTCCGAGACTCCCTGGGGAGTTCTGGTCCAGGGGGAGATCCTGTGTGTGAACACATGTGTATGTGTGTACCTTTGTGTGTGTGAAAAAAGAAACACGAATGTAGAAACACACTGAAAAGGCAGACATGGCCTCAGCTGGCAGCAAGACAGTGAATCCAGAAAACAGAATGTGAATTTAGGGACTGCTGAGTGAAAGAATTGATGCTGTGAGCAAGAAAGCAGCTACTGATTTGTTTGAGATTTCACATGCTCAGAAAAAACCCCAAAATTGTCTTTAAAAAAACAGGTTGGCAACACAGATTTATCTGGCTCCTTCATTAATTCTCCCTCTCTGCTGGAACAACTTATTATCTCCAATTCTCTTGTTAACAAGTGATTAAAAATAATTTAAATTAATTTTTTAAATATTACCACTTCCTTAATGAAAAACATGAATGGCAGCCGCTGTGTCACAGTTCTCACTATCATTTCTACTCAGAGATATTTGTATTGCCTCAGCTCTCAAATAGACACAGCAACTTTTCCATGACAAATTTACAGCCTGGATATACGAGACAGGTGAAGGAGGAATAGGAAAAACAAACAGATGAAGTGGCCAGCTCAAGGTGAGTGAATTGTTGGCAGAACATAGAAGAGATACTGGTCCTAAGCTGTCATCTTCTGCACCATCCCTTGGGCACAGTCATTTTTGTATAAAAGCTAAGACAGCATTAACAGAGCTCCCCTGGGAAAATACTGCTAAGTGTTTTGATTTACCACAATGAAAAATAAATAAACACATACATACATAAATACATGCAAGTTTGCTATATATAACCCCTTCTAACAAGATTTTTAGCATTTCATCTGTCCTGTGACTGGCTGCATTGCTGGCTACCAGAATGCCACCATGCAGTGCTTGGTAAGAGAAGGGCCTCTCCAAAGGTTTGAGTAGCCACATGCTAAGCAGACTGGCACAAATACTCATGATAAACTGAAACTCGATATGCAGTAATATGAAATCTCTGTTCTCCTCCTTCAAGGCAAATGGTTTTTCCTCCACCAGCCTCAAAGCTCACTTCTTAAGGCTGTTGAAGGAAAAGTGGGATGTGGAGTTCATTTATACTTCAGACATACAAAGGCGGGGGGGGGGAGAAGGGGGAGGGAGGAGAGAGTCTTTTCACTTTTTTTTCAGAACCTATAGGAGAGAGCTCTGTGAACACACACAGAGCCCAGACTTTCATTTTGTTCCCAGAACTCAGCTCAGCACTGCCAGGAAATAGCCATGAGCTGGAAGATTCACTAAGCAGAATATTTTCAGCATATTGCGCAGGGAGTTTTGCACACAACTCTCATTATTGTTAGCAAGGCTTGCGTGTCTAATTCTATGCGCACAGTGCTGAAAATGGACCCCTTGGTGTGTCTAGTCATTTATGCAACCCAATATGCAAACCACTCAACTGAAAGGACTTTTCAATAGTAGGAGGAGCTACTCCGAGAGCTTTCATGTGGTTCCCATTGTTATGAAAACTCTTCCCACTGAGTATATTTGGGAACAGCTGCCTCATCTGGAGCTCGGCCACTCTGACGCTTCCCAAGACTTGAGAAGGGGAGAAAAAAGTCTCTCAACTTCTTGAGATTAAGAAGAAAAAAAAAAAAAAGATTAGGTGGGCTTTTCCAGGAAACCTGCACCAAATGAGTTGGAAATCACATCCCAAGCATGAAGAAATGTATATACAACTTGGTGATGGATAGGAATGTGCCTCTTTCTTTTGGGGAAGAAGAGCTGAATATTCAGGGATCTCAGCAGAGGGAAAAGGAAGTCCTTGTCCTTGGCTGCCTAGTGACTGGCTATTTGCCTAAAAAACATCATCCCAGCTGACTGCGGGATGCATGCTGATGCTGCTCTCTATTGTTGCCACTTCTGCTGTAGCTGTGACTGTATCTAGTCAAGTGTCACTGATTCCTCGCCCCTCAAAGGCACGGGGTCTGTTAATGTGCAACTCCTCAACAGCCAACTCTGTCACGGAAGTTAGGGGGGAGAGAAAGACAAAACACAAAGCATGCAGAAAACTGAAAGGAATGTCTCTAGAAGACACAAAACCTTATCAATAGCCCAAGTCTTGTTTCCAAATCCAGTTACTTCTAGTGTTTCAAGGCACAGTGCTCATTTTGCTTACTCAGTCAAAATCTCTGGTGCTCAACAGAAAGGCCAAGGTGTAGTGAAAAATCGAAAGCAAAAATAGACCAGTAGCTTTTCTTAGAAGAAAAGACTGCAAGGCTTGAAGCCAAATACCAAAAAATAAATGGAATTGCAAAGATAATACTCAAAACAAATCAGAAAAGAATCAGAGAAATCTTTAACAGCAAGAGAGATGGGGTACAGGAGGAAAAACACATAAACATTCAAATTGATGCATTCAGCTAATAGGATACAAAGAAAACATATAAAACCAAGCAACAAAAAATCCCAATCCATCAAGATGCAGTCATAACGGATTTAAACACCTATATAATGTTATTCATATCTGCTTTCTGTTCCATATAGGGCTATACAGCACACTCAGCACTGTTGGACTGAATGCCTTCCAGTAATGCATTAAGCAACATTATTAACATCCATCATCTGCTTTGCTGTCACCCCTTCCCCAGAGGGAGAAGTGTGTGTACTGCAGTGTTTTGTTTTTATAGTTTGAGTTTTTCCCTTTTTTTCTTTTCTCTCTTCTCGCTTTGACCTATCTTCCTTGTAAATCCAGTTCTCTCCTGTGACATTTTTTAAGACATGGACAATTTCTTGAAGAACTTAAAGCTATTTTGATGGAATTCAGCTACTGTGGAATGCCTCCTCACTATTACTGTTCATATCTAGGAGTCACAGAATCTTATTCTACGACAGTCACATGACAGTGAATATCCTTGTGTCTTTAACCCTTCAACATGTTCGTCTTTTAAAACATTCTTGAAAATAGTCTTGGACTATATGCTGTTCAAGCAGTAAGTTCTTGCTTCTCTTGGTTCTAAGAATTGCATAGGACCTGTTTTGAAGTTGTACAGCTCTATGTATTTCCCTGCTCCTTGTCTTCATTGGAAAATAAATAGGCAAACAACAAAAAAGAACTGTGAACACAAGTAAAAAAAATAGTTATTGTCTTCTGCTCTAACTAGGAAGGTGACTGTGCGTGTAACAAGGATAACAAAATATAAGAAAATAACAAAACCCACCTGAAGTTATGTGAAAAGTAATCACATAGAAGCCAGGGGATTTTTGAGAAGAGGCAGCATAATTTGGCCTTAAAATCCCAACTGATGTATTTGCATTTGAACTTTGACAGGCCCCAGGGTCTAACAAGTGACAAAGGAAGCACTTTAGGACTCAGACTATCAAATGCCCTTAATGTGAAAACACCTGGTTGATAGGCAGGGTCCAAGATAGGGAACAGAATACCAGGGACTTGCTCATTGCCCCAGGAGCAAGTGGCAGGAACAATAGCTGAAATTACAGGGACACAGCCTGACATTTGCGTTGCAGATGTTGGCTGGGCACTATGCATATGAAGCAATCCTGACACAGAGCTGTCACAATCCATTTCCAAACCAGGATGGACCAGCATTTTAGCCTATTCATGTTGACAGACCTACATTTAAATAGCACCGAGCATGACAAAAGCCAGGAAATTCAAAGTTAAAGCTACTGCTCAGGTCTTAAGCTCAGCTGTTAAGGAGAAAACAGCCAAATGGAACAAACTAGGGAAGGAACAGTCCTTTCTTTGAGTCATATATACTTATAGAAGTGATCTCATTGAAATTAATAGGGCTGTCTGAATGAGCAAATGCTGTTCATTTGGATTAAAGCAGTTTCCATGTGTTCTCCGACTTACTTGGCTTTTATTAGCAAATTTAGTTTTTTTTCCCCCCTAACTGGATCGTTTCCTTGCTTGTGGATTTCACTTTTTGCCTTGCTAGCCTCTGGGCACTGGTAGGGCTTTCCTTGCTGGCTTTCCTTTGAGAAACCCTCTTGTATGAAGTCCGTTCTAGGGACAAAACAAAACCAGAACAAGAAAAGGGTGAGTTGGGCGTATGGCCAGCGGCACGTAGCCAGGGGGATTCCAGCAGGACTCAGCCACATGTCAGGCTGGTGGCCATCCCTCTGCACGGCTGCCCCAGCCCTCTGCAGGATGAGACTGTCTCACTCCTTGGAATGGCAGAGACCAGGATGGTTTGGAGAAGCTCTGCAAAGGAATAGCAAATGGTTTTCCATGCTTATGGTGAGAGTGAACACATGGATCTGTTTTTCTTTTGCCATGCACGACTATTATGAAAAATGTACCTTTTCCTAGACTTTATTCTCTCATGTCTAACCTTTACTTTTTATGTTTTCTTTCGAGACAATCGAAACAAACCAAAGCAGCAGACAGTGTGTAGGCATTGCATAATTTGCCAGAGGTGGATGAGTCTGTAGAGGCTCTGCTCCTGAGCAGTGAGGTTCCTGCAGATTTGAGGTCAACCTTTATTCACAGACTAGCCCAGAGGGTTACCATATACACACAAGAGAGTTATAATGATATGTCTTATGAGAACCTTGGTTTTCTGTTTTAGTTTTTTGCTTAATTGGCCTGGCTTGTCTCGCCACTAAACCCACATTACACCTGACTTGTGATGAATCAGGCCTGCTGTTTGCTTCCGATGGTTATCTTTACACCAAAGCCACAGTACAACCCCATGTGAAAGAGAAACTTCTGGGGGAGGCGGCAGGGGGAGGCAAAATGGAGCTTTCTGCTTCTTCCAAGAAAGTCAATGCTCTGTGTGAAATACAGACAGCAAAAAATACCCCTCCAAAGACAGGCCAAGGCCATAGGAGTATTTTCCTGTACCCAGCACTTCTGGTGGGAAGAAAAGCAGTCAGAGCTGTGCAGGGAGCCAGGTCTGATGCTGCTAATTTTGTATTTAAATGGTGACAAAAGAGATCTGAGACAAAAGTCACCAACAACTGTGGGGAGGCTGTGACTATTTGAAATTTTGCAGGGGAGAGGTAGAAGAAGCAAGCAGATGGTTGAGGAAAAAACAAAAAAAGTCAACCGTTGATTTCACTTGAGGCCTGATCCAAAGCATCAATCAATTTTCACAAGGTGTTTAGCCTCAGATGTGCAACATCTTTTCTTTTTTTTTATGAGAGCCGTAGAGTTTGTAGCCAACTTCCCTGTAACTGCAAAATACACCGAAATCATATCAAGTATGTTAGTTTAAAGTGTGAGTGATGTTCATCTGCCTGTCACACATGCTGTGGCTTTATCAGAAAATGATTTCAGATAAAACCAGAATATGCTATACAATAAATAATTCATGGTGGAAGGGAAGCCACATTTCTCTCTATATTGGCATTTCATCGTGCAGCCGCTGAACCACAGCTTGTTTTTATACAGGGCAGCAGACTCCATTTCCCAGCTAGAAACATTCAATCCCATCTGGTAGATTCATTCCCAGCTAGATAATACCCCACGTATCCATGTAACATACAAGCCACTGTCAAACAGCAGCAAGCCGTCTCCCCGAGACAGCTGTTCCGCACAAGGGCCGCATTGTCTGAAGGAAGCGCGGATCGTTTTACGTGGAGCGCCGGGGGGATGAGCCCTCTGTCAGCTGCCATGGCATCGAGAAAACCTCGCTCATCACACGTTCTCCTTATTTTGTTATCTGGCCAAACACATGCTGGGGATGTCAGGTTGGAAACAAAGGGTGCATTCCCTGCTCTGGTTACGTTTCATTAGGGAAAGCAAAGCAAACGCACCTCTTCTCCTCCTTTCCTCTCTCTCTTTAAAGTTTATAGATCTACAAAAAAGGCGTTTCTCGGGGCAGGGTTTGTAACAACCAGGCTTTTGTTTCTGGCACTGCTGAGCAGGCAGAGTGGCCCCAGCCATATGCTTTTCCTTGGCACCAGGTAGAGTGGGACGTGCTGAGCCGCAGCAGGAAGCGCTGCGCAGCCTCTGTGGGAGGCAGCTGCCACGTGCCACAGCAGCTGGCAGCGTCACACTGAAATAAGAACTGCAACAGTGGCTACCAAACCCAGGTGACCCTTTTCCTCCTGCCATTTCCAGTGCTGGGACACATGCCGGGTGTGCTGTGAGGAGGCATCGGGAATGGCCAGCCAAACCATTCCTTTATCTGACATAACTTTATCTGACATTTCTTTATCTGTCCATAACTAACTCCTCCCACCGATTGCTCAAAAAGCCCTATGAAACTGTCTTATATCAAAGACACCAAGACATTGAGAGAAAATTCGGTACAGATATGTATTTTCTGCATCTACCACCCTCGTAAAATTCACTTCATGTTCTTTTCCTACCACTTTATTGGTGCACCAACTATACCTTGGTGCACAAATTAAATATTTATAGGTTTTTCCAGTATTATCAATTCATAGAATGATACAATAGTTTGGGTTACAGAGGATCTTTAAAAATCATCTAGTTTCAGCCCCACTACCATAGGCAAGGATACCTTCCACTAGACCAGGCTGCCCAAAGCTGATCCACCTGGCCTTGAACCCTTCCAGGGATGGGACATCCAGAACTTCCCTGAGCAACACCAACCCAGTGCCTCACCACCCTCATCACAGAATATATTTTCCTTATATAGTCTAAGTTGTTATGACTTATAAAAATTGTGTGTTTCCTGTTTGTTATGTGTTCACACCTCTTCTTCAATCTAAAATGTCATTGTTCATGGGGCTTATTTCTTCATACTACATAAACAACAGAAACCCTTTTATTCTGATACATATTCAATCAGATTTTTGAATGCATTGATGGTGTGAGTTAAAAGTGAAATTCAAGAATTCTAGAACCTGGGAAATCTGGATCTGCTTTTAAGGTCAAACCTTCCATATATTTTCTTCAGAAGAAATTGTTAGCCTATTATATAACATAAATTTCATAGAAATATCTTTACATATCTTAAAATTCAGGTTATCTTATACTTGCCATTAAAATAAATTTCCAGTTGCTTACAGTTTTGTCTAACTTTGACTAGATTATACCTTTTCATTCACTGGGTTGAATGGAAAGTTACAGCAGAAACAGCTTATACATTTCTAAGAATTTTTTTCCAGTGTTGATTTCTTTCCTTTCATAAATCAAAACCTTTACATTTCAAAAGAATTCAAACATCTCTTTTCTTGAGTAGAAAGGTTAAAATTTTTTAAGAAGTAATTCTGGAGCTGAAGTAGTATTCCTTGCTTTGGTAGAACCTAATTTGGAAGTTGGAAAAATATTACTTGTATATCCAGGAAAATATGCTTAGGCGTGCCTAAATTATAAAACTGAATTCTCCATAAGCAGCTGCTCCTTAGTGTTTCCCAGAAACTCCCTTCTAAAATTTGAAACAGCTTTATTTGCAAGGAGCATGTTTGTAAGCTCACAGGTTAACCTCTGCCTAAAGTTGACAGCTAGCAATAGTACTGTTCCTTGGAAGAGAAATAAATGGAAAAAACCCTTCCATTTTTACTGGGAGAAAAAACTGTGGACTGGGAAACACATGCTCAGCCCTTCTGCCCTAATCAGAGTGACCGAGTAAGATGTGAACTACTCAACCCTTCTGAGTAATGGAGGTTTACTAGACAACCTTATTACCTTACAGGTAGGTTAATATTGCTGATAATGGTAACAACTGAGAGGTAGTTTGCATGAATGTGGTTTTTTATCACACAATATGAAGAGCTTGTTTTATTGGGACACTCAAAGGAAATAAGAACTGCAAGGGAGATGTAGGGAGGCTGGAGAGGGGAAGAGAGAGAGAGGACAATTTGGAAGCATAACTGAAATCTCCTTCAGTAGGGAGAAACATCTAAATACTCTTATGCCAATCACCATCTGAAAAGGCAATTGAAATATGAATTTAATTAAAAGGAACTACAATCTGTTAAACTATATTCTAAGGTTATGAGAAGTGATTTCAAATAAAAGAGTTAAGAAACATTAATACTACAAGATCCCTAACCACGCACTCCTAATTATCCGTTGAACTATGCAATCCCAAAAGCTAATACCACTGGAGTTTCAGAAGTGCCAAGCATTTGCATTCCCTGTCAGCTTTAATAAGGATTATTATACACATACATACAGTCCTTTTGAGAATCACGACCATAGCTTCATTAGCTAAGTAAGAAAGGGCACAGTACAGAATTCACTGGAGTAAATTTGGCCTATATTAAATACTTTGCAGTTGCAGTATTATTGTGTGTGGTCACTTACTGTCCTCAGGTAAGTTGTTTTCACGTTCTTCTCTCTCCATCTGTTGGCACCAGCCCTCCATACGATCTCTCTCTGCCTGAAGTAGCTTCAGAAACCAGTGGCCATCGCGTGGGCACACTGACCTTTGAACAGCTTCCAAAGGATCTTCAGTAATAGAGTCAATCCATGGGTCAGGAGGAGGTAAAATTGACGGATCAAAATCTGTCTCAAAGTCATCATCCACTGCACATGCATGGTAATGGTTTCCTGACCCTTGTATGCTAACAGTAGAGGTGCTTGCATCTCGGGAAAACTGTCTTGATATTTGTCCAGAACATGTATTGTCCTCTTGAGGGTCGATTATTTCAAAGTTCTCATGGAAATCCAGGTCTGCTTGCACAGCTGTTGTTACACTATTAGATCGTGTAAACCTGCGAAAGCTTTGGAGAGCACAAACAGAAAGCATTTAGAAAGTTTTTTCTAGGTAACTCAGTATGGAAGACTTCCTAAGATTCTGTCACTCTTCCTAAGACTGGCAGTCACACATAAGATTTTTTCCTCATTGCAAGCAAACAAACAAGCATCTCTCTTTCTCCATGTAAGCTCACTGTTTATTGAGACAAGGACCTATAATTTTTATGTGGTTTAACAAAGCCAGAGGCCAGTCCAAGAGAGAGAGCTAACAGTGCCAGTAGCTCAGGATTTTAGGTTACTGATTAATGAAAAGTTAAAGGGGCCCAATTTTCAAAAGTGGTTTATCTTTCAAATTTTAAAACTCACACCCCTTTGAAGTTACACATCCAAACTCACAAGCCACATTTAAAAATCATACATGTGAAATCAGTTAGATACTAATACCAATGAGTCTACTACGTATGCAATATTGTACATTCCATTTATACATAGAAAGTACTTTTAACTGAGATAAGTATTTTTATTGCTTCTGCGTAATTACTCTTCATAATTATAAATCTGCTATCTCTCACAATTTTACTGCCCATTACCAGTGTCCAGACACTCTATTTTTCACATTCAAACTTCATTTCAAAATGTATCTCTTTTTCACCAAAGCTAGCCTGCTGGCTCTCTGTGTTGCCCTCATTGTGATGGCTGCTCTCCTGTGAGTAGCTTCCTCTCACCTTGCAGAGTTCCCCTGTGTTGAGGCATCTGAGGGCTGAGAACAACCCTGAGGGTGAAGGCAAGAGCAGAGGACAGAGAAGATTTGGGGATTTCGGGTGGGGTGGGTTTTCTTTATCTAAACAGCACCTCAAATTCTGCAGTCTGAAGCATCTGAGTGAAAAGGCTGACAGAGAAGAAGCACAGAGAAGTATAAGGAGAGAAAGACGACCAATGCTTTTGCAAGGGGTGGTAACGAGAGCCAATTTGATCAGCAGTGAATTGTGGAGGGTTTCAGTGGGAAACAGGTGAGGCAGACTGCTGTCTTGTCCCATGATGAAAAAGAAGGTAGAACCACAAAGTAATTAATGTAGATGTTTCTTAAATCAGTAATATTTAGGGTTCAAAATTAACAGTTTTGAACTCAATAGGAACAGATTCCCATCTCCTCTTCTTACAAATCCAGGATGCCTGTGTACTCATGAAGCCAAGTAGTTAGTCTCCTATTTGTTCTCAATCTCATGTCTACACTTGAAACTAGTCTTAGGACTCATTTCCCTGTGATATTTTGTCTGTTTTGCCCTTGCCAGTTCTGTTTTTAGTTTGTGCTCAAGCAGCAGTGAAAATGCTGAAGAGATGGTGGAATGGATGCTGGGCACCATTTCACTTCCTTTCATTTATATTCCACTTTCCACTAAAGAGCAATAGCCAGTTAGACAAGTACTGCTCAGAGCAAAATTTCATCAAGTGTATTTAGTCTGCAGCTGGTGAGGGAACAGATGGAAGGATGCTGAGGGAGAATTCAATGTCCTATATACCTGGTGCATCCAGATAGCTCAGGAGGACTGCGAGGAGGAGGATTCTAATAGGTCCTGCTGATAGAGGAAATTAATGGCTGTTGATCTGGGGCTTTGAGTGGAGTAGAGAAAAGCAAAACAGAAGTTGAGAAAGGTCCTCCAATAAAAAAAAAAAGGCCAAATTCTTTTGCAGAAGAAGACTCAAATTAGCATCTCAGCCATACTAGTCCCAGGAAAATTTTAATAATAGATTGTGTACATATTTTTTTAATAATCACAAACATTTAACAGACTGCCTGCTGCTTGCAGTTCTTTTGAAACAGACATTGTTAAATTATACAAAAGTCATGGCTGTGCCACTGTAGCTGTGAATGATATGCACCAGCAAACTGAAAAATAAAGTGTGTGCAGAATTCTTCAGCTTGGTAGTATTTATCCTTTGGAAAGCAGAGGAAAGAATTTTCTTATGGACTCATACAACAGAAAAAGTTAGGAAGTGAGGACAAGGGTCACTGAGGTAGCGGAATCCCTTCCATAGGAGAAAAGGTTTAGAAAACACATGGCTGAGGAGGACTATGAGAGATCTATGAAATCCTGACTGGGGGATATTTCACCATTTTTCTGAGCGCAGTAACTGTGGGGAGGAAGGCAGCCAGTCGAAAGGCTTAGAGGTCTAAAGATCTACATCTGATGAAAGGAAGTAGTCCTTCACACAATGTGTAGTTAAATTGCCACAGAATCCTGGAAAAAGCAAAGGTAAAAATAGGTTCAAAGAGAATTTGATCAAATTCACAGGAAGAGCCATTACACATCTCATATTTGGCTTAGGAAGTCCCTGAACAACAGAATACTAAATTAGGAATGTCTACTGGGACAAGTAGTGCTTAGTTCAGACACTTTACACAGAGTCCTTTATACTTTTCCTAAATATCTGCTATGGGCCCCTGGCAGAGTAAAGCTGTCATAACTAGTATAGCGATTAGAAAGGCACTAGCATTAAGCTGACATTACACTGAAAGTCTATTGGTCCAATACATATTAGTTTTTTTAGAAATTGCTTTAATTTGACCACCAACCTGACTAATCCCTTATCTGCACTGAAATACACAGACACACACACAAAAACATGTGTGCCCACACAGGCACATGCTGACTGAGGATTTCTTTTTAGTCATTTAGTCAGGGTTCACTGAGAGCCAAGGCATTAGTCCATAGTGTACTTTTCCACACCTTCCATAGCACTGATGAGAAATGCAAATGCCTTAGTCCAGGTTTGCTCTTCTCCATGTCCTTACCTCCACGTCACAGCCACCTTCTGCTTTCTCCAGTGCCCTAGACTCTGACACTCTTGTGTTTCAGATGACCACTTGTGTTTTCAGTTAACCTGGCTTTTCAGTGCACGCCAAAACCCAAATGTGAAAGCATCAAAGCCTGCTTGACAGGAGGACCTATTGCTGGAGGCTCCACATTTCAAATCTTTCAGGAGTGTACTCTTACTGGGTTCAGTATGGGCTAGTACCACCAAACCCAGATTCTGCTTAACAAATAGAATGACCTACATTTTTTTGTCTTTGTTTTATCTATATAATAGTATGCTACAGGTTTGCATGACAGTTTCTTGGCACTGGATCATGTAACTTATCCGTCTTCAAAAGAAAAACAACTTGGCAATAGAATATAGCATCAGTTCAAAATTTAAAAAATACTTCCAAGGAAATGTATTTTGAATAAAATGGAAATGCAGGAAGGCACTTACTATCTGCCTGTCTCCAACTCATCCATATAAAATGCCTAATAGTTGGTAATTTTAGTCTCTGAGAGAGCTTCCTCACTCATTTCCAGGATGTTTTACTCTTACAAAATAACATTTGTGTCCCACATTAACCCTTTTTGTTTTGCTCTCAGTTATAACTCCATACTAGAGGAGAGCTGTTGAAGCTGATGATTTTTGCTACTTCTACCATATAAAACATTCACAAGTCTAACTTTAAAAAAAAAGAAAAAGTCCAAAATAGAGGTTTGCTCCTTCTTCTGCTTTCAGGCTTTGCACTTTTGTACTCAGTTGTGCCCTGCAGGCACAAGGTGTAATAATTACAGCTTCAGAGAACTGCAGGAGATATCTGGCCTAGAGTGCAGAAAGCCATGCAACCTCAGACTGGATAAACCAGTATGGAGAACAACAGAATTATATGTTTTGAACAACAATACAGTCACTTGTTGGCATTCAACTCTCAACTTCTAAGTCTTTGGCTTTCTTTTGCAAAACATGTTTGCAATTCAGCTTGGATAACTTAACTTAGATAACTTTATTTGTTCCTAAAAAACCCCTCAAAACTGAAACCCCAGAAAAGATCTGGATTTCAAACCAACTGATGCATGATCAATCTTACAGGCGTTTAGGTTAAACTCAGCCTTACTTTACCCACTGGCTGTCCTCCTTCTTGGTGGTGTATTTCTCTGCTAAGGCTGCAGCTGCTGTCAGCAGAACAAAACAAGCTGCAGAAGGAGTTAGCAGATATGGCACCGTGTTTCTAATGGCAGGAACAGTATTCCTGATCCAACCCCCTTCCTTGCAGCAGCTCATCTTTGTTCATCACGTTGTCTTATGCTGGTTGGTTTATTTGTTGCTCTTTTACCAGCTCTTGGCCTTTGGATTGCAGAGCAGAGATGCTGGCTGGAGTGCTCAGCCTCCCTCCAGAGCTTGGTCTGGGGCACAGAGGCCATTGCCAACCAGCAGCGTGTGATCAGAAATTTATAGACAATTCTGCCAAGGCCAGGCTTGCAGCAGCCCACCAGCTGGCTGGGAGCCACCAGGGCTGTAAGCATTCCCTCAGGTCACACACAGGCAGCTGTGGCCAGGGAAGGAGATTGGCCCTGTCAGAGCCAGGACATTCTTTGCCTTTTGCTCCAGCAGTTCCTCCTCTGAGCATGCATGGGGTAGGAGGAGATGTGGAAAATGAGTCCCACCAATGCGGGACTTGCCAGAGGAACTGGTGTGGGTTGCAAGAGACATTTAAAGGTCATCTAGTCCAACCTCCTTGCAATGAACAGGGACATCTTCAACTAAATCAGGTTGCTGTAAAGACTGCAGCATTGAGAAGTGTGAGTTAGACTGTGAGACTGGCCTATTGTATAGGGAAAATGCTAAAACCTGAGTATTTTTTGCTGGAAGTAGGTAACCAAACCCAAAAACCTACAGGAAAAAACAAACAAACAAACAAACAGAAAAAGATGAGTTTATATAGTAATAAAATGCAAAGATGTGAGGGGTATTTTTTTCCTGGAAGAGGCAGCATAGGGTTTTTGTTTGATTGTTTATGTTACCATATTGTTATTTCAAATTATTCCATGTTCTACCATATCAGGAGTTGTGCTGTGGTAGGATGTAATTTGTGTATCAAGATCTTGTGGTAAGACACACTCTTGTGTATCAAGATATGGGGGCACCTTCCTTGGTGCCCCAGAAACCAGAGAAGACCATCTATCTACTGCAGTCTCCTATGGGGGTGTTCTTACTCCATAAATTACCATTGTTTCAGTATTAAAAAATTCTTGTGATGGCAAATCAGGCACAATTACCAGTGGATGGTACATCTAGAACAATGAGAGACAATTTTGGAGGTGAGAATGTAATAGGAGGAGATCTTGGGCAGGCAAGATAAATTTCAAGAGAGACTAAAAATGATTTCAGAGCTATGGGACTGGAAACCCCTTGTTCAAGAAGAATGCATTCTAATTGTTTTTGGCAGAATAAATGATTTCTTTTTTTCTGCTTCAGTAGAACTGATTGACTTCTAACAACTCGATTATCTTCTGTAAGTGAGGAGGGTGGTCCCTTGAGGTCGAGAAGAAGTTACAGGTAGAAAGAAAGGACAAACAAAAATGGACAGAAATTGAAGTGCCCTGAGATTACATAAATGAGTTTCATTAGGTTCACTTTTCAAAACTGGTCTGGAAGGAAAAAGAGAATAACATTTTGGCTAGGGTTTTGTCACCATCATGATGAAGGTTAGGTGAGAGATAAAAGATTAACAGCAGTAAGATCATGAGGTTGTAAGAAATGTGTCCCAATTTCTCTCCAAGAGAAGGACTGGTCAGAGTTAATCTATAAATGCTAGAAATCACAGAGCTGCAGGTAGGGAATAGGTATGAAAAATACTATTGAGAACCAGCGGCATAAAGAACTGAGGATAAGATAAATAGCAGCAATGGGTCCAGCTGTAATGTGGTCAGGTAGCAAGAAGCACATTTATCCTTTGAGCAGTACAAGAGGAGGAGGCAGACTGAGGCATTTGTCTTGGCAGGAGGCCCATGATACAGATACAGAAAGTGAAGGGCCAATGAAAAGTCTGAGGCAAGATGGAAGATTGAAGAGAGAGCTGTCCTGTGAAGATGCTCTGTTTTTGTACTACTTAGATCAAGAAATGGAGGCAAAATGTTTTGCTTACCTGGTCCAAACGCAGAAGAAGGAATATTTAAAAGGACATGAGGAGGTAAGACTTCCTAGTGTGAGAATGACAATCATATAAGGTGAGGGATAGGGGAAGGAATGAGCAGGAAGCCAAGAAGAAGACTGAAAGTAGTGGTAGGCTTTTGGTGCATTAGGCAAAGAGCTTTCTTGTTTTGTAACAGTGTAATATTGTAATAGCGTAGACTGTCAAGGAAACATGATCAATTTACTGTATTTATCCTTCTTGCTGTGTCATTCTTCTCATTTTACATTTATTTAGTATTTCTGAAGCCTGGGATATTTTTAAGAACATTAATTTCTCAAAGATTCAGCTAAAAAGGCCTTTCTTAGGCTTTGCAGATGTTATGGTGCAGGGACAGTGAAGAATGTACTGTATTTACAATTCTATTCCTGTAACAGATAATCAATACATTGTGCTCTGCTGTGTTATGGGAAAAAAAAAAGAGAATAAGTGCCCAACTGTGATGATAAGCCCTTTGTGTCTTGAGTGCACTCATTTTCTAGGGATTAGGGGCTGTCCTTTATCAGCCAGTTCACTTCTGAAAGTCCATGATAGATTGCTGCTTGCCCGTCTGCTCCAAACACCAGCAACCTCAACTTTATCAGCAGGGAAACCCCCAAACACAGCTGTCAGTAAGTAATGCAGAAATACTGCTTTCTCAGGGCAGACTCTCACAGGCAAATCTTACCTCTTTCTCTGGGGCAATAAAAACTGCAGCAGAAAGAGGACTTTGGAAGCAAGGTATTTACAAACAGCCATTTCTTTCTTTCTTTGCGGGGAGGGGGAGGGCTGGGCTTTTGGGGTAGTTATTTCCTTTGTGCCCAGGCTGAAGTGAAATGGTCCTTCAGCATCCATTCTAATGTGCTCATTTATCTAGTGCTGAAGAGTGGTGGGTAAATGGGGCTAAGATCTAACACATAAAGAAATGTCTGCCAGCAAGAGATGTTTTAGCAGGTTAATGAGGAACTTGGTAACAGCCTAGCAGGGCCATTGCAAAATCACATTTCTTTTTGCTGAAATCACTTTAGCCTTTTAAAACCACAGGAAAATGGTCTGTTACTTTACAAGGAGATTTGGTTGAATTGAAAATGGTGTCGATAACCTGCTAATTTTGAGTATTTTTGGCAGATGTAGGAAAAAACCAGCGTGAGAATGGACATCTCCACTGGCTCCTGTAGTCAGCAGGCCAGAGAAGGGGAGAGGGCCTAAATTTTATCAGCTCAGATTTGCTGCACCCAGGTTTTCTCTGGAGAAATTACAAGGAAAACTTCTCTTGCTGATGTCATACTGCACCGAGGCTTCACCTATGACACAGGAGGGTACTGAGAATTATCAAGAAAGTGGCTCTAGCATCCAAAAGTCACACTGTGCCCAAGTGGCCTTGAGAAAAGAGAAGCAAGACTTGTGTGGGTGCTTGGAACAACACTGGGCAGGCCTGCACACTCAGGCAAGGGGAGAGTCTGGCTTTTCTTCAGCCACCGAGTCCACTTTTGGGAAGGAAATAAGATCTGCAGTTGCGGTCAAGCACTCAAAAATTTTACGTGTCTCCCGAGTGCTACCCACGGTTATGCTGCCCTGCAATATAACTGCAAATTCATCATCAGGAAGAAACATAACCCTTACAGACAGCTGCTCTAGTTTATTTTTTCTTTTAAATTTTTTTCTTGGAGGATTTGTTTACTAACTCAGGATATACGGCAGATTGTATAGGGAGAACAGTTTTACAGGCTTGCTTTGTAATCTCAAAATTTTTTTTTTAAGGGAGCAGAGATGTCTGGGTGAGATACCTGAGTAAAAGCATTCCGTTTGGCTCTGCCACTGCACTGCTGCATGTGGCTGAAATAATTCTGCTGAAAAACAAGGCAAACTTTTCCTCATCAGTTCTATGCTGCTGCAGCCATCCCAAGACAAATACTCCAGCTGCAACACTGTTCACTCTTTAGGTAGATTTTCTGGGGAAAAAGAGATTATTAAAAGTGTATGAGCTCTCAAAATGTATGGCACTTCTCTTCCATTTCTCTCGCTGATCCTGAAAAATCCTCTCTGAAAAACAAGAGCTACAACATTTATAAGACTCAGCTTTTCAGCTGGGTGATCTAACAATTCATCCAGGAAACAAGTTTATGTGGTCATGTGTGCAGGAACTAGGGCTCTTAAAAATTAGTTGCGGCATAATTATTTACTTTAGAAAAACAGTATTAACTTTAACTCACCACTTCTCCTCCTCTACTTGAACTCCTATGGACTGGAACTTACTGGTTGCTTTATTATCACCTGGTATGGTGGATTCTTCAGCACCATCAACCTTAAAAAATAACAAAACATGACAGGTAATAAGAATGTATTTTAGCAGAGATATCACCTGTCTGCTTGCAGTTTCTGTGCACCTTAACTACTGTCTGCACATAGAGCTAATACCATGAGTTCCTTCATCTAGTAAGTTTCTCTGTGCTATGCTCATTTCTGATGTTATTAGTGAATATTCATCACTTTTAATCTATAAAACATTTCTGGTAAGACAATATTCAGCCTACAACATGCAGGTGGATTTTATCCAGTATTTTATGGAGGCTGGATGCTCACATTTGTCAGAGGACATCTCTGAGCAGCCGAAGCTCCAGATATTGTGCTTTACCATTTGTTTGATTTTACCTTCTATCTGTACATGCATGCATATATGAACTCATATCAAAATTGTGTATTTTGTTTAAATGTTAGTGCCTCAAATCAGAGCACTGCAGAAAAAAAGATTTAAAGAAAGCAGATATGAGTCTTAGATGCATTTTCTTTACTGCTTCATCTTGCAAACAGGTGGTGCCCAGGAGCACGGGCTGGAACTTAATCTCCATCTCCAGCTCCATGAGGAGATTTGTGCCAAAGGTATAAAGTTAAAATTTAACCACAGATGTGTCTTTGAACAAAATCACAATATTCTGCATCCGAGCAGTGTAGCTGTTAATTCCCAATGCTATATATAATATAGATAGTTATACAAGAAAAACATTTTCCAGCAGACAGAATTTTTGGGCCATAGCACTGTCATGAGGTGATCTGTAGCCTCAAACTGACCATGGGTGTGCAAAATATCCAGCTGTAGTTGCTGTTCCACCAGCAACTTCAACTTTCAACTTCTTGTTGAGAGCCACTTGACCAACTTGTGCAGGAAAAGTGCTCAGTGAGGGATGGGAGTTACAGAAGCTGTGAGGTGAGGTGAGGTGAGGTACTTCCTTCATACTGGGGTTTCTGGGGAGATAAATACACCTGAAATCTCATAACTGACAGAGTGAAGCAACCTTTTGATGGAAGGGCTTTTCTTTGCTTAATTTTGCTTGTTTGCTCAGCAGATTTACAGCAAAGGCTTGCAGTGTCCTAGGAGTGGCTGAGGGATGTAGAGGACACACATGGAAGTTCATCAGAAGTGCACACTAGGTTTATTTGGCAGAGGAGGAAGAAAACCAAGAAGATACCCGTGGCTAATGCAGCTTGCCCTGCTCTACAGAGATGGGTTGAGCTATCATTAAGGTGTATACTTGGTCTGAGTTCAGACTAAGCCTGAACTATGTTCCCTTTACTCAGTGGGGAGAGACTGACTATTCTGCCAGTCAGAGGATAGACAGTGTACCTATGGCCTTTGGGGCAGCTGTTTGTAAGAGAAGTAATTTCTGGCATCAACACCTATCTTAAGGTATTTCTACTCCCACACTACCCCTTCAGCTGTACCAGCATGACTGCTTGTGCAACGATGCTGCAAAACGGATCAGACAGCAGACTAGTGAAGCAAGTTTCTTTTATCTGTGAAGCCTATCTGACTCTAAAAATCTCATTGATGTGCACAGCTGTGAGGGTGGCACCATGCACAGGCAGGAATCCTGTAAGGCCGTGTCCCTGCTGAAGGTTTTGCTCCATGTCATCCCAGCTTCAGGTGGTTTGTACCACTTCTGCATTGGACCCTACACAAATCCTGCCTTGGCAGAGTCTCACGTACCTTCCCCAGATTTCATTATTATTTAATGTGATTATACTGGTCATTTGTAAACTTCAAAGTTTAAGAGGGAGATTGTCAAATGCTTGAAGAGCATTTGGAGCTCTGTTTTCCTCAAATCTCAGGAAATTGAGGCCTCTATACCTTTCAAAAAGCAGCATTTGTTACTTGCAACACTACCTTAAGAAGAGATACAGGGAGATGGTCTCTCAAGAACCATGATTCATATTACCATTGTTCATTTTGACTTCTGCAAACATGGAAATTATTTCCTTGTGCCCATTATTTTGCAGAGTCTTTGCTAAGGAGTCTTGGTTTCTTGGATTGGTGAAATAAGGGATTACAATAATATAATGGCATTTTAGGATTGGCTGGTAATGGGAATACAAAGCAGAGGAGTTTTCCTCTATCCCTGTGCCACCTGGATCTTTCAGTGTTTAACACAGAACATCAGCCCTTCTTTCAGAATATACCCAAAACAAACAGCTGTGAAGCAGTAAGAGTCTACAACAAAGGCAGTGAACTGAACCCACAGGCAATAGTTATTGTTGCCCTTCCAAGAAGAAGTGAGAGAAAAGTCACAGCTTCTCTAGCAGCTACCCCGGGGATGGCATACTTCAGCACAGCACCTCTCATCTATCTCATTGGCTGATATAGAGATTTCATGGCAAATTCTTAGACTTTACTAATCAGATAAGCCTGTCCAGGCACATAGTGCTGTGCTTACAACCACCTTCTTCAAGAAAAAAAATTCTGTCTTCTTGTGAAGGCCAATAAGCTGTGGATTGCTATTCTATTTGTTCAAGATTCATCTGTCAAAACCTGTGTTGATTCTCAGTTGATTTTAAGTTCAAGTACTTTGTACAAAAGCTAATCTGGCAAGCAGATAGTCAGGAGTCCTATGCACATCATTATTTTGGGGGAGTAGAGGGATGGGAAGGATTAATTAAGAAATCTAGTTTAGTCTAGTTTAAAGCCTAGTTTTATTTACTCTTGTCCTTTCTGTAAACAGGAATGAACTTTGGCAGGGTTAGTTTTCTTGTTTCATTCTACTAGAGGTAACAAAATGTAATTTTCTTTAACAAGGGCAAATCAGAAGGAACTTATCTTCTGCTCTTGAGGCTGAGATAGGAACAATGCTGCCTCATTCAAGTGGCTACCAGTCATTATGAAATGCATGAATAAGCAGCGACAATTAATTCAGTGAGGCTGGATGAAAATATTTTTTTGGTGATAATGTAATGTAAATCATTGTTTTACACATTCCCTTTCAGTGATTTAATTCATGCCTTTCTGACCCCCACTGTGTTATGATTCATAGATTAGTGCTCATGTGTGTAATTTAACAGAGCTGAATAACAAGCAGCACAGAGACTCAAACAAATCCTTGCATCTGATGTATTTATGATAAATTAGGAAAACATCATTAGTACCATGCAGAATGATTATGCTGATGCAAGTCCTATATAGGTACCTGTCAGGACAAGAAGAAAAATACACAAAACATTGTATAATGAGCAGTAAAACAGATGTAGAAATCCAAAACAATGGCAAGCATATAATCCATGTCATGTACTGTACCTGTATTCCAATAGATAAGCATCTGTTTTTCTTGAAGTGGTCCTTCTTCCTATCTTCTACTGCAACAGTGGCAATGGTTGTGGTGGTGGTGACAGTGGCAGTATTGTTCCCTACGTGTTGGCTTGCAGGGCCATGGATCTGGGCATTGGCAGCTTCAATAGCAGCTGTCAGAGCCTTCATACTGTCCAGGCTTTCTGTGGAGTTGCTAAGTCCAGACTGGCTAATGATATCACCCCTCTGTCCATGCCCATCCATGTAGGCATCTTGGGCAGACTCTGTGCTGCTCTGGGCTGTGATGGAAATAAAGGGTTTGGTGGTAGTTCTCGGTGGCACTGGAGGCGGTGTCTTCTTGTAGGTGGTAATGCAGGATGACACTGGAAAAAACACAGCAGAGTTCTTGTTTTATTGATGTTTTATGGATGCAAGTGGGATATCAAAGCATCAGTAAGCATGGACAGAGCAGAGGTGAAGAGGAGGCTGTTAGCCAAAGAGCCCCCAAAAGTCAATCTACGTGCCATAGTAATGCCTTGCTTATCAGTGTCTGTTATTCCTCCTATGTGAGTGGCAAAATTACTAGTAGGGCAAATAGGGAAAGAAAGTATCTATTTGCCAAGTTCCTCCTTAGTCTTTTTAGGATTGTTTTCTGCAATAAATTTTTTACTAAATGTTCTAAGTCCTTCCACTAAAACGTTTGTTCTGCTTATGGCTCCTAAACAAGATTCATAGGGATGGTAAATCTCCTACTACTTATCCCAGCCAAACTGTATTTCAAGCAGTTTTATTGCAATTGTTTTCTGTCTCCCTACGCTGTCCTACTATATGCAGAGTTTCAAACCAGATTTTTCTGATGAGATTCTCAAATCATTCTTTATCAAAGTTTGTTAACACTCACCGTGCTTGGACTTGTGTATTTCTTTCTATAAAATGTCTCACTTGTTGCACAGACTTCTCAAATATTTTGAAATGCTTTGTAAGTTGTTGTGGACATATTTAAAAGAACATTTTGCCATGCCTAATTTATCACCATAAATATAACATCAGTTCTGGCAAAAAAATCACTTGATTTTACACAGAGAGTTAGTGTAATGAAGTCAATGGCTAAAACCTGTCAGTAAGTGGTAAAGTGTAAGTATAAATGTTTGCAATAACAAAGACTTTAATAAAAGTTCATATTTTGAAGGCCATGCTCTCTTTTAAAGTGCTGCTATGTGGAGTTATAAGCTTAGCTTGAGGTTCCCAGGTTAAAACTATTGTTCTGTATACAGAATTAGATATAGAAAGCACTACATGGAGATTAAAACATCTTCCTTTAAGAGTTACTTGGCAGCTCTGCATTACTGAAGTCCTGGAATGCTTTCAAGGGAGGAAAGAAAGTCCATTAAGAACAAAAAACAACCATGATATGCTCTATTTTTTAACAAAATAAATGCAGGCATGAACCTGTGCAAAGTTCAGACACAAACTTGTTAACATAAATTCTTATTAACAGTAATCATATGGCAAGAAATGATTCATCAGATCATTTTAATTGGCAGACGTCTATGCCACCCACATAAAAGGTAACTCTACTACAGCTGTTCTGCTCTCTGTTTGCACTGTATCTGCTTGTCGAGCCAGAAGCCATTATGGTATTAATTTGACTAGCTCACATCCATATGCCTCCTATCTCCCCATAGCTGTAGGAATAGTTACAGTGTAAAAGGTGTTTCCAGGGCATGAAATCACATGGGATTTTTTTTGAAGGACTCTAGTATAAGTTTCTGATAACATGTCTGAACCCATGTTAAACATGTTGAATGCTAATGGAAAAAAAGAGTGTTTCAGGTAGTGAGGGTTTTGAAACTATGATTCACTTCTGAAGAATCAAACTGAAACCACGGCATCTCTGAGAGAAGAAATGGCTAAAAATGGACTTGTCAAATTTTAACTCTGGGGAAGTGAATAGTTAATAGGGTTAAAGGTGTTTTATAAAGTGCTCATGACAAGGTCAATACCTGGAACTAACAGAAAGGATGACAGTTTTAAAAAGGGGATTATGGATGTTGTGCTGCTTTTCATTGTTTTTGATGCCGTCAAAAAACATTTGTTGTGACAGCACATGCAGGGAAATCAGCTGCTGTTGCTGCAGCATGATCATGTACTCTGGGATTCATGGAGAATTGTGGAGGCTGCTGCTTGAATCGGGATACCCTAGAAGCATTCCTGGTGGTTCATAGTCAGGAGAATATTCTCTGAGTTGTGGAAATGCAAACTGAAATTGAGAACAGAGGAATTCAAAGTGCAAAACCACACACATATCCAGGTAACGTCTTGGGAAGCTGGTGCCAAACTTGTCTAATAGAAGTTCATGAGCAACTTTGCAATTCAGCAAAATATAAATCGTACCATTTAAAATATGCTAAGAAAGGTCACTGGGAAGCTTCAGGGGACATGCCAGCACCTTCAGTACATCCCAGCACGGCACATAAGTATAATTTTTCTTACATAGCAGAGAGGGAAATGATAATGAAACACACTTGAAAAGGCATCTTAGGTAGGAGAGAGAGCATCAGAACCGAAAAGCCACTCTCAACAAGACAGGTCCCCACATAACTGGGCATCCTGCACTGGAAAGAAAGTCAATAGCAACTGTCTATTGACAGCTACCATGCTCTCTGGACACAGCAGTACAAATACAGAATCGCCTGATTAAGTTGTCTTTCATTCTGTTGGTAAATGTACTCAATGAGGAGTATAATCCACACCGCATTGAGAGATGTTTGCACTCAGCTAATTAAATCTGAAGTTATTCTTAAGAGGGGGAGAGAATTGACAAGTCATACGGTGAAATTGTAAAGAGAAATAGCAAAACGTTCTTTCAGCAAGTCAAAACAAATCCTCGGTTTCCTGGAGTCACGCAGCACATACTGTACAGCTCCAGAGAAGCAGAGTGTGCAAGTCATAAAAGAACCCCAGGCACTTCATTACTGGAAGTGATGTAAGCTCCTGCCGCTCCTCTGCAGAATCGACACCAAAACAATGCCGGGGCCGCCGCCGCTGTCGGAGGCTGCTGCTCTCAGTGCCGGAGCTGGCCGAGCCCTCCGAACCGCCCAGGCACAGCAGTGAAAGGCTTTCGGTCCCGCAGCTCTCCTTCGTGTGCGCTCCGGCACCTGGCAACCTGCGCCGGGGCAACCTGAAGGATCCGCGGCTCTTCAGGTGCCCACGGTGTTTCCAATGCTAAGCTGCTCGAAAAACGAAACGAGTCCTCCCCAGGAAAATTGTCAAAACGCTGGAGCTCTCCTTGTCCAGCCAGGAGAGGCTGAGCATCCAGTGGGCGCAGGGAGAGCGCATCCATGCGTAGTTTTGGCTCTGCGGACAAAGGAGGAAACTCATCCCTCCAGCTCTCCTGCGGCAGGAGAATCAGAGGGAGAACACTACAGGATCACAGGACTCGTGAAAAACTTGGAGAAGTCCTCACTTCACACACAGGGAACCTTCAAACTATGAAAGCTGGTTTAATTCACATAAGGAAGTGAATTTGAAGGGCCGTATAAATTCCCTGATAAATATGTTCTTGGACATAGATCAAGGAGTGAAGTTCTGTACGGAAACTGATCAGACTGGAGAGTCAAGTCAAAGCAGTTAGTCTCGTGAATCATTAAAATTGTTTAGATACGGAGTTAATAAAAAATCACTTGTTCTGAATAGTAGAAGAGCCCTCAGTTTGACACAACCCTCAGTTTGACAAACTGTGGAAACCCTCAATTTCCACAGTTTTCTCCAGAGAGCACATGCTGCTGAAGCAGGTACACATTCCTCTCCTAGGGCATATGCAAGGTTTAATCCAGAAACTAGTTAAGTCATGCACAAGAATCCTCAGACAGCCAAAGCACTTCCAATCAGGCTCACTGTTTCCAGGGCATCAGTCCTCCAAGTTATGCTCTCCTTTTCCTTTTGATCTTTACCCTATTTCTGTGGACTACCATCAAGTTACAGTTTAATCTCAAATACCTAGAGGAAAAAAAACACTTTCTCCAGATTAAAAAAAAAACAAAAACAAAAAAGAAGCCACGGTTTTTGTCTTCCTAGCCAGTATTTCCAAACAACTAGCTCATGGGACAGGAATTTGGAACAGGGAGTGTCAACCACCCAGTTCAGAAGGAAGTCTAATGATAAAAAAAAAATAATTCCAGATTGCATAATAATAAAGGCTTGAATTTGAATGTTTCATTGTAAGAGTACTTCAGTTGTTTAAACATGCTCACTAGGGGAGATGAGCCCTCAGGAGCAAACATCAGCATGCAAACACAAATTTTTAACTGATTGAATGGGTGCTCAGGAGAACCCCAAGGCAGATTAATATTTTCAAGGGATCAAATTCATGCAGTACTTTGAACAGTTCAAGTGATGAGACACACCAGTAATATCTTTCTAACTTGGCTGTCTTATATAAACTTGATTAACAAGAATAAATAACGTGCAAATTTAAAATTAAGTAACATAACAGTGTTTCTTCTGAGAAAAAGCATGAACTCCACAGTTTGAAAGGAGCAACAAAGGACACAACTTTCTCAGCACAAGAAAGATGTGGACCTGTTGGAGTGGGTCCAGAGGAGGGCATGAGGATGATCAGTTGGTTGAAGCACTTTTCCTGTGAAGACAGGCTCTGAGAGCTGGAGATGTTTAGCCTGGAGAAGGCTCCATGAAGGCCTCACTGTGGCCTTCCAATATCTTAAGGAGAGAGAGGGATTTTTTATACGATAGTGACAGGACAACGGCAGTGGTTTTAAACTGAAAGAGGGCAGGGTTATACTAGATGCTAAGCAGAAATTTACTCAGAGGGTGGTGAGGCACTGGAGGTTTTCCAGAGAATTTATGGATGTGCCACCTGTGGAAGTGCTCAAGGCCAGGTTGGATGGACCCCTGAGTGACCTGGTCTAGTGTGTGGTGTCCCTGCCTATGGCACAGGAATTGGAACGAGATGATCTTTAAGATCGCTTTCAACTCGAACCGTCTTATGAGTCAATGATTCTAACTTGTAACAACTAAGTCTGAGGATAAAAAGCAGGAGCTGTTCCATGCTGCACAGATGGACCTCAGTCTTCTGATTTACTGTCTGTTAAATGGGTGTGCTAACAGTGGTGCCACACAAAAAACACAGGTATAGATTTTTTTTTTTTTTTGAGATTCGGGGGAATGCTTGAAAGTAGAGTTTCAGATCCCGTGTTCTTATTTTTACATGCAAAAAATTGATATGGAAACAGAGCATGCATTATCTTAATAAAAAACTAAGCAGATGCTTTCTGAGGATGTAGAGATTTACTATTACAAAACTGAAGCAAAGATTTTTATAAGAAGTTTTAAACTGCCCAAGGGAATAATACTACAGTGAGTT